CTTGGAACATTTCTTCAGATTTTCCCCACTTTTCATTGACTGTATGATTTTAAAGAATATAGGCCTATTGTTCTGTAGGATGGCCCTCAACCTAGGTCTATACAATATTTCCTGATGGCCAAACTCATGGCATAAATTCTGAGCAGAAATTCCCCAGAAATGATAGTCTTCTTAGCACAAGACTTGGGAGGCATAGAATGCTGATTTGTCCCACCTCGTCAAGTTGGTGTTTATTGTAAAAATACTGCTTTCCTGTTTTGTGGTCAAAACAGGAGTATTTGGAGGGGAGATCATAGATTATGCTAATATCCCGTTCCTCATGGAAGCTCCATCTACCAGCTTTACCATTCTCTGATGACACCTGCCTAAATCAACCACCAGTGATGGTTACCAAATGATGACCTATTTATATAATTCTATTTATATAATTCCTTCTACACTTATTAGTAGGCATTTCACACTAAGGAAGAGATTTTCATTCTCCTCCATTTTTTTATTCATTTATGTCAGTATGGACTTAAGGATTCCTAGTTTATGCAATGGGTTATAATCAATTACAATCATTATTTATTTTTATGTTCAAGTTGTCCCAGGTTTCAGCCATCAAGTTGGCTCCTCTGTCATTTTGATATGATAACATCATTTGTTAAACATTTCCTTATTTTCTGGCACAATTAGATGGTTCAGGCTCATCTTGTGTGTTCCCTGGCCTGATCCTTGAGTCAGCCTTACTTCCAAGGAGTTCTCATTCCTTTTAGGAGAGCATGGTATTTACAAATCAAAGTCTAGGCACTTGGTCTGATCATTGCTATTGAGGCATCATAGGTTTTAGGCTTTCTCAGGGGACACCTAGAAAATATGTATGTGTATACATATATACTATGTATATCTACTACTATATCTGCCTGTTCATATATATTGAAAAAGACAACATGATTCATAATGACAAATCCAATTCCAATCCAACACCAAGGGTTCTTTCTTGCCTCCCCTCCTTCCATGTTTATAAATCCCTTCTCCAACAGTGAGAAACATAGCTCTTATTAACCTCAATAACGTCTTTGCTCTATGTAACCAATCTCCCAACCACACCAGCCCCTCCATGCTTGCTTCCTTCCTATCAGTGCTTTCTCATTACTGGCATGCCAATCCCTCCACTCCTGGAAAAGAAGAGAAGGGAAGGCAAGGGGAAGGAAAATGGGAAAAGGAAAAGGAAGCAGATACTTACTTTTAAAACACCTTCTACAGCCATCTTCCCTTCATGCCCTAGTAAAATAGTGTATGGATAAAGCCACTGGATTGCATGCTTGATTGACATCATAGGAAAGGAATCCTATTTAGGAGCAAAAATATATAGGAATGACCAACATCTAAGATAATCACAGAAAATTTATCTGAAATGTACATATGACATTAAAATTGCCTTATAAAAATAACCAATAGGTTTCTGGTGTGTTCTAGAAGTCACAAAAGCAAATATTCATTATTTTCTCTTCTCTTCCTGTCCCATACCCCTTTCCTAGGTAAGCTTACCCACTTCCATCTTTCATCTATCATCTGTGTTGATGGCTCCCATGCTTCTACGTCTAGTCCTGACCTCTTTCTTAAGGTGTAGACCTGAACTCTCAATAGTCTGTTACACGTGATTATATGAGTATCCCATAGACTCCCACTTGAAACAGAACACATTTCCCTACCCTATTCATTCCAAAGAACCTCATCCTTCTTTATTCCTAATTAGAGTTTATCTCATCCACATTCACCTCACTAAATTTAGAAAGTGTTTGTTATCTTCAAATCCTTCCCCAAAATCAAATAGCACTCTAAGTTCCGTTCACCCCACTTTAAAGTTTATTGACAGAAACAATTAAGGAAATTTGAACTATGAACTATTAGATGAACTATTAGATGCTGTTATAGAATTACTATTAATATGGTACAGAGTATGATAATGGTGTTCTTGTTTTACAGAAGAATGTCCTAATTCTTTGAAGTTGCATATTGAAGTATTTAAGAGTAATGACTGCAATTTACTTTTTTTTTTTTTTTTTGAGACAGAGTCTCACTCTGTTGCCTGGGCTAGAGTGCCATGGTGTCAGCCTAGCTCACAGTAACCTCAAACTCCTGGGCTCAAGTGATCCTACTGCCTCACCCTCCCGAGTAGCTGGGACTACAGGCATGTGCCACCATGCCCGGCTAATTTTTTCTATATATATATTTTTAGTGGTTCAGATCATTTCTTTCTATTTTTTAGTAGAGACGGGGTCTCGCTCTTGCTCAGGCTGGTCTCGAACTCCTGACCTTGAGCGATCCTCCTGCCTCAGCCTCCCAGAGTGCTAGGATTACAAGCGTGAGCCACCACGCCCGGCCTGCAATTTACTTTTAAATGGTTAGGAAAAAAAGAAAAGAAAAGGAGAAGTACAAGCAAGCAAATGTGGCAATGTATTAACAATGGGTGATCCTAGGTGAAGGGATTATGGGTGTTTGTTTTACTATTTTTGAACTTTTTTTAGATTTGAGAATTTTCAGAATAAAAAATTCTAAGCAAAAACAATAAAAAGTAAAAGATTTGATAAACAGGAGAAGAAATGCTGTTCTGGATATATAAAACAATGTAAACAATACCTAACTCCCTGACTCACAGGAAACATAAATAAATGAATGAACAAACACACACAAGTAAGTATTTAAAAATAAAAGTCTCTTGCGTCAGACAGTATCTCCACTACCCTGGATGGTGTCCTCGGTGGGAGGGTCTCACTAAGTCTTACAAAAGCCTATTTGTTCCCTATGCATCCAGGTTCTCTCCTCACCAGCAACAAGGTGTCGTCCTCAAACATAAATCTGATTACTTCATACCCTACCTACTTCATAATGTCTGATTAGCCACTTCTCCCACATCATAAAATCCGGACAACTTCATTCACCGTGAAAAACATTTCACGATAGGGTTCTAACCTCTCCCTCCACACACACACTTGTTCTAGGGATAAAACATACTCCCATTCTCCAAACATACCAGGCTCTTTTGTGATTGAACACTTTTGTCCATGCTTTGCCCTCTGCCTAGAAGGCCTTTCAATCACTCCAGACACAATTGCCATGCCCATTGTGAAACTGTAGTGGACAATGTCTCTGTCCTACCAAATTCTCTCAGATCTGTTTATATTCTTTCTGTGTGCCTCTCAGCTTCCCCTTCCAACAGTCAGGCGCTGCAGGACTTTTTAAAAAGATTGCCCTTGGGCTCTAGGAGCCAGCTGTGCTTACATGCTGGGAGAGCCACTAGTGCCTGGGTATTTGTGTCCCCAAAGATAACCATTACCCAATGACAGACAGGTGCTAGACCATGAAAGCCCCAGCTCCCCAGCCTCAGGTTGGGACAGCTCTGAGGCCTAACTCACCCTGCAGCACATCTCTTACTTGATTAGGCTGAAGTCTTCCTTCCCTCTGTGGAACTTTTACTGAGATTGCGTGTGTACCTCCTACTCCAAAGCTATAGGTTCTTTAGGGGCTCAGAACATGTCTTTGGTCTCTGTACAGTTTACTGCACTGCACAACAAATTAATCTCAGGCCTTGCAATATTTATATAGGAATGTGAAGGCAAACTGAAGTGATTAATACCCAATAAATAACTTTCAAATTTTCTTTGCTACATTTGGCCATACCAGTTATTAATTTATTTTATACATACCAGGATTTGAACTGCAGCTGGTAAACTATCTAAAGGAAAATCTGGAAGTCCAAGAGTAGATGATTCTTGTGAACAGAGAGTTGTGGCAAAGGACAAGAGCTGAGAAACTCTAGCAGAAAAAAGTGACATTAAATTTTATTTTAATCGTTTTTAAAAAATAAAATGGATAAGTCTGTTAAATGTAAAATAGCTGGGCCAATTTAATTAATCTAAAAAGATGATCCATACTATTAATTCTTAAAGAACAATGGCTCCATATCATAATACTCCATTTAAAAGCCAGATGCTGACTAGATACACAGATATATTTCCTATATCCATTACACTGTGTGATGTTTTTCACAACCTCACCCAAATCTACCCTGTCAGCCTCATCTCTCACCTTTCTCAATCCCAAACTTAAACTCTAGCCACAGGAACTTTTTAGAGCCCTAACAACAAGGTATAAATTTTCATATCCCATGGTTTTAAAAAAAAATCTCTTAGAATTCTTTGATCGATTCTCTATCTGGCAAAAGCCTATTCATTCTTTAGGACCCATTTCAAATACCAATGCCTTTGTGAAAACCCTTATAAAGTCTCAACCACCAATAGCCCCAATATTTTAAAATTATGGTATTTACTATACTATGTTTAACTAAGCTATTCAGAAATCTTTCAACTCCACTAGATCTTGAGTTTTTTGCTGTCAAAGATGATATCTTATTAATTTTATCACCAGCACTTACTAAATCTCCTAACACTGAAAAATTCTTCAAAGAATAGTTGTTGAATAAATCAATCAATCAATGAACAGGCAAAATAAATTCAATGTTAAATGTCCAGAAATTTATAAAAATATACTTACTTCTCAGCGGAAACATTAGCTCCCATTGAATATAATAGTTTAAGTTGGTCCTAAAATAACATAGAAACACATCAAATCAATTAATAAGAATTGTAACTGAGTAAATGTAAATGTTTTATAGACACAATCTAACCTTTTAAATTAAGCAGACATAAGTAATTAATAGCGAAAAATCATTTCTTGATACATTTCATTTTCTAAAAGAAAAGTCAGCCTTTAAAAAAAAAAAATCTTTCAGACAAATAATGGCACAATAATTTTTCTCCTAGTTTCCAGAGATTTTCTTTACCCTCTATCTTTTTTTCTTTCCATTAACTTCTGAGCAGGACATCTAAAAATACAGTAACATTTTTATGGAATTCAATTTCTTGTTATAAATAGAAAAACTATTTTAAAAAATTGATTATCTTTGGTCATACTTACCTTGAAGGGTAGATAATAAATATCTCTGGCTTGAAATCGAGAACGGAGAGGGGGGTCTAATGGATTCCCGGAATACCTCGGCACTGGCAACCCCAAGGCAATCACTCGGAAATTTTCACTGACTCTGACAATCTTCCAAGCATCCAACTCTGTTTTGGTATGATCCTATAAAAGAAAGAGACCCCAAAAAAACTATGGCATAAATGATACAGATTACAGCTGAAAGAGCTGCCAGGCCAAGGAAATTGGGCATTGACCGTTGAGAAAACTATTTGAGAACATTCTCAAAACCAAACTGTCAAGGAAGAGAGCAAAGGAAATCAGGATCAAGATGTCAGGATAGGCTCAAAACATGAATGGTGTTTGAAAAGAAAAGCAGCTAATTCCCCAAGGAACAAAGGAGACCTGGGTCAGATCTCCAAGTGCTAGTCAGTAACACAGAGGAACAGAGTCAGAAAAGTAAGGAAAATATACAACTAGAATATCTCCACTACCTTGGATGGTGCCCTCTGCAGCAGGATTTTTTACAACTAGAGGTTGTAAAAAAAAAAAAAAACAAAGGTAGTCCTAGAAGAGCAGATCACCAGCAGAGTAGATTGCCTGTAGACCTTAAATAGGTAATTATGTTTGTGGGTATATTTCTTTTGCGAGGCACATTATTAACTATGTAATAACTAACACGTTATGAAAACTTACTGCATGATAAGAACATTCCACGGATTTTTCTCATTTAACTTTCACCAAAATCCAAAGAGACACCTAATCTCCTTTTAATATGAAGAACAAACTTAAGTTCAAAGGACTCATATAACTTGCCCGTGGTCCTGCAACCAGTATATGGTGGAGCTGAGAGAATGGCAGCAGTACAGGTTTTGGAGTCACAAATCCTGGCTGAATCGCTCGATGTACACTCTAACTAAATGACCAAGGGCATGTTATTATGCCTTTGGAGCCTCAAGCCTTCTCATCTAGAAAGTGGAAATATCATCATCTACATTATTATGACTGCTATGAAAACGAAATGTGAGAACATATGCGAAAGCAACTAGTCCATAGCAGGCATATGCTAAATGCTGGGATCTTCAAAGGGCACAGCCCATATAGTGTAGAAACTCTTAACATGGCACTCATGGCCTTTCCTGGCAGGAGTCCTACCTGACTCTCCCTGTCTCAGCAACCAGTGCACACCCATCCCCTTGATCCGTCTTCCATGACCCTGTGCTCCAACCTATCTCATAACTTCAGCATCCAAGCAGCCACATGATGCTGCTTTACCAACACTGTTCCTTCTGCTTGGAACACCCTTTCCACTCTGCACAGCATAAACACAAGTGTCCTTCAAAGCTCAGCACAAACATCTTCATAAAAATGAGCCCTTTTCTGATCCCCTCCCTCATTAGACTCACTTTTGTACCCTTTGTTGTATTCTACGCAAGCTTCTATCATTATACATTTGTGCATTTACTTCTAAACATGACTGTCTCATGCTAGATACAAACTCTTGAGAGGACTTTCTACCTCAAAAACATAATAAGGCAAATGTTTGTTGACTGATTGCATAAATTTTAAAAATAATGAACAATTATTTCAATCATATTTTGGTGTGAACCAAAATCACAAATCATACATTTAATTCATAGACTGACACCATGACACTACGTCACATACGCTAGAAAGTGAAAGTTTAGATCTAGCCCTGTCTGAGAAATCAAGAGTACAATCTTCAGAGAGCTAAATATTTCTATTTTTCATTTACCCAAAAATGATAATCAGAATACAAAGTTCATACAAACTAATTGTATCTGTTTTCAAAATAACAAAATTCTACTATAATCACCTCTATGAAGCCAATAACATTTTTGAGATATTAAAATTTAAAATATTGAATTCAGCTGGAAATAAGTGAGACTTAAATTACGGTGTTGGAATCTTTTTACCACAGAAATTATCTTAAAACAGTAGTGTTTTGTGAAGGACTCTTGTCTCTATACTCTGAGGTTCTCATAGGACAGATTCTGTGAATACAGAAATGACATTTACCAATAAACATGTATTCATACTGATATTTACTTTGTGGAAAAAACAGTAGATCCTTCTCAATAATAATAAGTGATTCCTTGTGTACTAAAATCCTTTTGACCCCCATATCCTGAATTCCCATGTAAAATAATACACTCAATAACTTTGCATAGAATTCCACTATAAAAATAAAGAATATATCAAACTTTTTGTTGTGAAGTAACTCCTGTATTTTTAAAAAATGATTCCATATTCTGAGTATTTTTTTCCAAGTCATTTACTAGAAATGGTGAATACTAATAATATAATCTCTAAAAACAAAGAGTTCTTTGCAATTAGAAAGTATCTAAAGAGAAAATGTTCTGCATAATATCCACCTACTTTTAAAAATAAATAATAAAAACAGCTTTCATTTCAGCAAATTAACTATAACAACATGAATAAATGAATTTAACTTTCTCTTATTGGTTAAAATCCTATATTATCTCCTTTTAATTATCTTAGAATGGGATGATATGTAGATAGAGCCAGAAGAAAATGACTATATTGCACAATAAAAAATACCATCTAGAAACTCCCCTAAACAGTAAAGAAACACACTGCTAAAAGGGTTGCAAGATGAGTTGCAGAGAAATAGACTCATACAGAAGGAATAAGAAAAAGATGCTCCTGGCCCTGCCAGCCATGGGGCATCAGTTCAACCAGATCCTCTGATGTCGACATCTATTATTTAGGGCCTAGAATGTTCTGGGCTTGTGTTAACACCCTGGGAGCAAGATCAAGAAGTGTAAGACACAGATCCTGCTCCTGAGCAATCTGCGACGAACTAATAAACTAAGAAAGATTAGCACATATGTATCACTACAGAACAGGTGTGAGAGAGACTGTAGGGCCTAGAATGTAGAGGCAGAGCAATTAGTCACAGAATGCTGGGTTAGCTGCAAAGAGCTTCCAGTGTGGTGCAGCTTGAGCTGAATGAACAAGGGCTGATTGTCTTCTGGTCATCTGTGACATTACATTACCCCATCTCCCAAGCCTCTGAAGAGCCCCACATTCCCTAGTTGTTGCCTTCTTTATACACACATGTACCCCAGCATCTAATCATTTCATTGCACTTATTCATTCAACAAATAGTTACTGAGTACCTACCATGTGCCAGGCATTGTTCTAGGAGCTTGAGATAACTTCAGTGACCCAAATCCCTTCCTTTATAAAACTTATATTCTAGTAAAGGAAGGCAGACAATGAACTAAAAATACAATTAAATAGGATGTTAGAAGACAACATGAAAAAAATAGAGCAGGGTAAGGGAGTACAGAGGCAGCGGGCAGGCAGCAATTTTAAATAGGAGGGTCAGGACAGGCCTTACTGATAACGTAACATTTGAGCAAAGACTTGAAGAAGGTACAGACAGGAGAAGCCAAACAGATATCTGGGAGAAAATGGTTCCAGGAAAAAGGAATTGCCTGTGCAACGACTAGAAGACAGAATACCCGCCTGTTATGTTTAAGGTGGAGTGGAGTAACAGGGGAGGAAGATAGGAGATGAGGCAAGAGGTAGTGAGGCCCCAGATCTTAAAAGGCACTGAAGCAGTTGGGGTTAGTGTATAGGAGTGTCCCAACCTGATGCATATCTTAAAACAATCATTGACTCCTGTGTTGATAACAGCGTTGGGGAGCAAAGATGGACACAGGAAGTACAACTAGAAGATTCTTACGGCAATGCAGGCATAAGATGCTGGTGGCTTGGATCATCAGTGTATCTTTTAAATATTTTATTCATTTCTGTCAATACCTACTGAACTTTTAGTTTCCTGAGGTTAGGAGCTGTAACTTTATTCTGTTTCTTCGCTGGTGCCCAGTGCTGTTTAGAAGTCATTAGGCTTTTAGTAAATAGTTGTTAAGAGAAGGAAGAGAAGGGGAAAAAAAGGAGATAAGAAGAAAAACAAAAGGAAAAATGTGGGAAAGAGAAAATAGTTATTAGACTGACCAAAACAGACAGTAAAAATCTGAGAAGTGTTCTGACATTGTCTGAAAACAGAAAAGCCTTGTAAAACTGCAAACTCATGACTTTACATCAGCAATTTTACAAAGATAAGAGCCTTCTGAACATCTGTCCTGATTCCAATAGAATCATGTCTTATACAACAAAATGGCACTACCCACAGCTTGACAACAAAGATAAGGCGGCCAACTTTTCTCCTCTTACTTGGAGAAGTTTGTCGTAACGCTCGGCAGACATCAGGAAGCGTCCATCTTCAAGCTGCATCTCCCTGTTTTCCAGCAGGTTGTTCAAAACAGGCAGAACATTCCTCTCTGCCTTTTCCAAGCCTTCCAAAATGAGAGTTCTGCCTTCTGTGGCTGCACGAACTGCACACTATTTCCAAGAAACACAAAAGCAAAATGAGAATATCGAAGTTGCAGAGCCTGACCTAATTTTACTTACAATGCAAGTTAAACTTGCGGTTCTTGTTACAGGGACCAGGAATCAAGAGAGCTGGGATCCAGATCTTGTTTGGCTTTTTCTGCCTGTATTATCTTAACCAAGTGATTTTACCTCTTTGGGCCTGTTTATTCATGTGTAAAATAAAGAGACTGGAAGAGAAGACCTCTAAGTTTCCTTTCAGCTTTAACATTTTAAATTATATGCCCAGTGAAATCAAAAACTAACAGCTATCTATGAGCAAGTAACATAATTAAACAGGGAACAGATTCTACAACTGGAAAAGAGAAATGAAGATAGCAATCTGCCCTATCTATCCCACAAGCTTCTCATGAGGATCAAATAAGCTAGGTGAGAAGGCTCGGAAACTGTAAGGTTTGTAAACATGAGTCATCATCAAAATGAATTCAGGTTTAGTGTGATGCTTGATGCTGACAACATTACATACTTAGCAAAACAGAAAAACAGTCAAGTTTTACACTGGCCTACATCAGACTGACTTAATCGGTACTATAAGTCTTCCAATAAATTTTAAGAAATTTATTAATGGAGAAAAATGGAAAATAAAGTAAACCCCCAAGTGATAAGAGACAGGAAAACTGTAATACAAAAAAAAAAAAAATCACTAAAGATGTGAAAAAATATTCTCCTTTAACCGATAGGTCCTGAACAACATAGAAAAAAACTACTTTTTGGTCAAAATCCTTGAAAATCTATTTAAAAAGGAAAACCTCAGTCATGTTTCTCCTGAGGCATTCAACAACAGACAAAGGATTAATGGTGCTCAACTTATATTCTCACTCCCTCCTTAAAAAGTCTTCTCTGGTTTCCATGACACTGCCTTCTTTTAGAAAAACTGTTCCTCCTTTTCTGCCTGTCCATTAAACATAGGTGATGCCCAGAATTACATCCTTAACCCACAGCTCTTCTTGCTCTACAAGGTCCTTCCTGAAAAATCTGATTCAATCATGTAGTTCCAACCATCACCTTTATGCTAACGACCCCCTAATCTCATGCTCCCCCAAGCTTTAGAACTATGCAGTCCCGTCACTTGGATGTCACCAACCAAACCCCATAAGCACCTCCAGCTCCCCTGTACAACACTGAACATATCCTATGTTCCCCTAAAACCTGCTTCTCTTCTTCTTCTTTCTGTTTTAGGTGGGGGTACCATTCATCCATGCCCAGATCCTTGATTCCTATCTCACTTCCTTCATTTAATTTATCACTATGTCCAGATCATTTAACTTTCTTAACATTTCTTGAACTCATTCCTTTCTCCCCCTCCCCTACTTCAGGCCCTCCTTACCTCTCAGATCTCGTCCCTAGTAGTTCAAGCTTTTTCATTTGGCATATAAGCCTATCACAATTTGGCATCTACCTACCTCTCCAACATCATCTCTTGACATTAGTTGCATTGCATGTGGTATTTTTGTGACAATGAACTGGCTATGGCCTCCTACACATGTACATACCATAATGCTTTACCAGAAAATCTGTCTTTATTTATACCGACCCCTTTGCTTAAAACTTAATTTTCCCTATAGTAATTAGCCCAAAAAAGATCTCATTGTTTGAAGGGGGGAAATATATGTCTATTTTTTAAGATTTCATATCCAAAGAAATTCCTACAGTAGCAAAGCTACACACTGTTGATTTTTATACTGTATAGTAGAGCTTAGTTTATTTCAAGTGTCTTTATACTATTGTAAAAGAATAAACTTTTATGAAAGCCATGTTAGACTCGAGATAATCATCCATTTTAAGAATATAAATTCATGAATGATCCTTTGAATCTATCATTACTGCAAATATTTTAATTCTCTTCTACCAAACTAGTCATCCTATTATAGTAACTTTATTTAAAAAAAAAAAATGGATGGAAGGGACTAGTAGCTCCTAAAGAACAACAAAATAAGAATCTCATTTTTGCTAGCTGTTTAAGGGACAAAGCCATAGGCACAGTTTCTGGGACATTAACAGTCAAAATACAAACTACTTCTTAAAAAAATTCATGTTTCAGGTAAGGTCTCAAGCTTTTGTTCACAAGAATATATTTACTCCAAGAAAGCATAGCTCAGAGTAAAAAAAGATACTAATTAAGTTATAATAACCTGTGGCAATATTATTTTTAAAAAGCTAAAATTTTTATCAATCATTGCTACAAGACAGAATAAATACTGTATTTGACTTTTAAAAACTCCACAGGGATGAAAATGCATGTTCTCCGAGATAAAACTAGAACTATACACATCAAAATTTAGCGGTTCACCAACTGTGGGCCAGGGAAAACAAAGTCTTGACAACATAGGACAACAACAAACACTGCAGCTCTGCTTTATTCACCTCAGGTATATTTTGGTCTTCTAAGCATCGAATCTTTTCAGAGGAATTCAAAATAAACTAGGTAGAGAGATCAGAAACAGAAGCTAAATACACAAAGTATTCCTTTCACCTATTCTAATGAAGGTGCTATGACCAAGAAGTTGAGACAGTTGTGATGGATGGAAAAAAGATAATACCATCTAATGATCTCTTGAAAATCCGATCAGTTTTGCACCTCTTCTCCAGAGTAAAATGCACACAGACACACAGACACACAATCACACATATAGTAGGGACCTCAAGTGAAAAACCTCTACTACTAAAGAATGATAGAAATAGAAAATGACCCATTTGGCAAATACTATAGTAATAACTGTTATAGGCAACAGTTATTTTACCATTAATGGATGGCACATTAGGGGGTGAATGTATGATGAGAAACAGGATATTTTTATAGATTCGAAATATCTCCCCACAAGATATTGGATAAATGACAATGTGGAAAATAATGCAACACTGGAGAAACCTAGCAGATAGCATCTTAACCAAGTGATCAAAATAAATATGACCAATAATGAGATGTATCAATTTCACATACTATTAATAGACTCCTAATACGATGCCCTGAGACGGGGCATCATTTCTATGGTGTTCTTGCTAAAAATACATAATTTCAATCAATTCATGGGGAACATCAGACAAACCTAAACTGAGCAACATTTTGCAAAATAACTGGCCTTAAAGAGGAGACGGGAGAGGGCTGCTGTGGGAACTCAGTTGGGGACAGTGAGGGTGGTAGCAGTCTTTTTTTTTAATGATTCAAAGACTTGAGCATGTTCAAATGATGAGGAAGAGGAGCTAGCAGAGGAGTACAGAAAAGATAGTGTATAATTATTGAAATAAAACTATGGAAGCTGCTACTTGATAGTTTGGTCTGTCTACTGAGTAGGAAAGTGGTAAGGGCCTACAGGTTTCTATCAGGCTCTTCCATTTATGCTACCTAATTTAATGCTATGATAGTCCTCTGAAGTATATAATATTTTACCCAATTTTACAATGGAAGAGAGGTTATACAGTTTGAAAATGGCAGAGCTAAAATTTTAGCTTGTCCGTAAATTTTAAGTGACAGAAATCAAGTAGATGAAGAACTAAAAAGAGATCACTAACTAGAAAGTTATTAGTTATTTCAGAGAGTCTAGTTTTACTAGGCATAGGAATTTGCTGTGTACCTATTTAGATTAAAAAAAACAACATCCATACAAGACATTTCTGCGTACAAAAGAGACTCAATTCAACTTAAGATATACATGACCCTAAGCAGTACATGCTACCTTAAAGTCTTCTAGAGAGGAATAAAATCACATTTTCTCAAACTAACACTGTTTTTTAAATCACTGTCAATTTAGTGAAATTCTAGAACTGAACAGCAATAAAACTAGATACCTGCCTAAGTTTAACTGGAAAGTGAGGTAGTAAACAGAAAAGATTCAACAGTCTTTTAAATCAACATAACCCATTACCGCACGATGATCCCCACATGACTTAATCAAGAACTTTGACACCCGCCTTTTTGCTAAATTGTTTTCCACATATAACAAACTCTAATTGTTTGTTTTACTCGTAAACTTACCGGGTTTGGGGTTTTGTGTTTTTTTTTAACTTACAAAAAAA